CCAACACGTGTCCCTCTTCAAGCTTTATGCGTTTGAGTTTATCCAGATGAGGTAAGCTAACTTCCTTCTTTAGGTGAGCAGTTATTGAGTGGGAGCAGGATCCATGTACTCRTTTATCTCTCAGCTTGAAAGCAAAAAAAAGTATGTAGGATTTCCCATAATTGTGACAAAATGAAGAGTATCTGAGCTGTGAAGTATTTGCCTTGAGAAGGTGTGTGTGTGTGTGTGTGTGTGTGTGTGTCTGTGTGTGGGACATCCCCCTTGATGGTGTCATCTCTGTAATGAGGATCACCCACACTGTTCTACATCTCTCTAATCATCTCTCTATTTCATTTTCCTACAAGTCCAATCCTTAGCCGAGTTATTTCTCTCCCCTCGCCGTCTTTGTCTTTCTCGCTCTTCCATCCCTCACAATTGTAATTAAAATGATCTCTCTGCTTCTCGCTGCCTCATCTCTTCTCCTCTCCATCTGTCATTCTCATACCCACTKTCATGTATTCATTCATTGACTGCTGTGAATCGTTCAGCCTTCCTCTCTCCTTCTTCCTTTTACACTTCCGGCTCATTTGTATTCTTTTTCTTTTCCCCCTCTACATTCATCATTTATGGTTGCTTCTCATTTGCTTGCTCTTTTTATTTGAATCTCTTGTTGTCATTTGGTTATGATATGATACAGTAGAGCTGGGCGGTATGACCCAAATTTTATATCACGGCATTTTCAACAATTACACCGGTTTCACGGTATTTGATGTTTATTTTTCTTACAGCTCAGCTGATAATAAAATGTACAAACTTTGCTTATTGACTTTTTTCTTTTACTGTACTTCTGTATCACTGTTTCCCTCCTTTTGTCTTTTCTTCTTTGCCTGGTTGTAGACAGTAATCATGAATTTAGGTCCGATCATGAAGGGTTGAGAAAAAAATCCTTATCTGGTCTATCGTTGTGTGTTAATAAAACTTAAAAGGACGACTCACCTTGCACACCAGTCAACTCTGCTACACTACAAAACTACTTCCCCCCGGGCTTTTCACAGTAGAAGCACRCTAGAGTCTCCATGCAATAACGTCTCCATTATAACGTAGCGCATTAAATCTAACCGTGCACGACACTGAAGAGTTGTTTACTACATTCAGCAATGGTGAAAACGGGATGTTTTTTTTTACGTCAGACCATATAAACGGCTGAAACACACCACCCGCCACCAGTTGTTCAAACAATAACGTTAGCATGCTAATGCGCTTAGCGGTGCTGCAACGAAATGTGTCCCCAGGGAAACAGTTCCCTGGTGGCCGCGACGAAATGTTCCACACGTGTTCAGGCTATTTACACCGGTATTCAGAAAAGTCATATAATAAAAATAAAAACCGGTTTTCGGTGCAAAACAGTATACCGCCCAGCACTATGATGCAGCTGAAAGAAGGTATCAGAAGACCGAAGACCTTCCTTTAGCTAAATGCCTGTTCTCAGGGCTCAGGCTACAGACTACGAAACCATGCAGCTCGCAAATAAGTGGCGCAAGAATTCACTCCTCTCTATGCTAAAGAGTAAAAAGGAGGGAGACCTGAAGAAAATAGACAGGCAAATTAAAATGATCAACCTCATTTAAATGTATTGTATGATTAATTGATTTATTGCTTATCRGGACCGCTTCTTTCCTTGAGTTCATAGATCAGTTTCACTCCCGTTCCCAGAGCTTCTTGTGTTTTTTCAGTAAATGTTGGCAACAGCAACCTAATGCTCCACAGTTTGAATGTCTATTTGACGTTCTCTCTTATTCATCAATCATCCTTTATTGTTCTTGTTTCTTGTGCTCGAGCTAGTTAGACCAGAGAAAAATGTTAAAATTGTCTCCCTGATTTAGCTCAATTTGCACAAATCTTGCACATTTTTTTATTAATATTATTTTTAGAGTCTTTTTATTCAGAACTCTATTTTAACATTCTGCAATCTTTGTATCCCAGTAAGAATTGACAGGCTAAAGAAATTGGAGTGCTCAATTTTATTTTAGCTGCAGAATAAATTGACTTTTTTTTAGTGTGTGTGAATTAGATCAGTCTGTGAGCAAATGTTTCATTGGATCTGGCAGAATCTGTCTGACTTTTCTCCAGTGCAATCATATTTTCACTTGGCCTTTCCACTGTCAGGAGTCAGGACAATCACAACGGTAATCTAATCTGGGGTGGGCTTGGTGCAATGACTGTAAAGGTCTGTTTCACAGAAGCACCTTTATAAGCAATATTGCCTCTGCTGCTTTTATGCGGAACACCCTTTTGTTTCTACTATGGTGTCTGTGAACTACACCAGATATCTTCTTTTGAAAAGAAGAAACAAATATGTTTTAGTCAATATAAGTCAATCCACCTGCAACCAGAAACAGATACTACAGGACTTTTAGTTTTAGTTTCATATTTCCACTCACTCTACTTTTTTTTTTGGTCAAAACTGCAGCTCATTTATTAATTCTTTTGTTTAAGACTGATTTGTTTTAAGTGGATGTTCTGATGCAGTGTTTCCTAAAAGAAACTACAAATACTTTACTGTACCAGTAAGGGGTTTGTTTTTAATAATTCTTCTGTATTTGTACAGTTCTTTTAACATAGACATTGATATTCTGTCACATGCTTTCAGGCTTACTGGTTTAATCCYGATAAGGAAGGTGTCTCATTTCCTGTGACTGCTAGATTAAGTAGCTTTAGATAAGAAGCTGACAAGCATGGTGCTTTATGGAAAGTGAAAAGTGGAAATGTAATAAATCTGGAATCCCTGTATGACACGCTGGTGATTTAGATGTGTCACAATAAAGAATGTTAAAATGTAAACATGTGAACGGCTTCTTCAGTCTTGTCCTGTTTGTCACTCTAAAACACGTGTCAAAGTCGAGGCCCACGGGCCAAATCTGACCCTCATTGACATTTTGACCAGCCCTATAGGTGATACTCTAAATGTCAAAAATAGTTTTATGGTTTCTCTTTTTGTTTCTGTATTTGCTACATTCTTCTCATGACGGTTGGCCAACGTTCGGCCCGTCCATTCAAGTCAAGTTCAAAATTTTCATTAATCTTTGGTTTTGGTGTGGGAAGAGCATCAGAAAATCTACTTTATCTTTTTCCATATTCTCATC